AATGTAACACATTGTTTTTCTATTTGTATTTGATTTTTGCCTTAATGCAGCAAAGTCAATGCTCCTGGCTTTAATCATGATGATAATGCTAATTGTGCATGGACAACAATGGCAAGAGAGGGCTGTTGTAAGTAGGGGCAGCTGGAAATACGATTGTACCATTGACTGAAATAGGAAACCCAGGAGGAGAAAAAGTTAGGGCCAAAGAGTATAGTGATGCTTTCACACCACAAGGAACAAAATACCCAACTAAAAGCAGCCTTAAAACCCTCCTTTTTCTCTCAGAAGTAGTCTGGAGCAGGTAGCTCCAGATGTGGTTCAACTCACAGATGTCAGGGCTCGGTCCACTTCCCTGAGAGTCTCTTGGCTTCCTGTCATGCTGCTAGATGACCACCTCCACTCCAAATATCACGGTACTATTGTAGTAACAGAGAAAGGAAAGAATCTCTCCTGATGGCTCCCAGCCTCAAGCGGCCCACACCAGAGTTCTCCCAAGTCCCACTGGTCAGGGTTGTGTCACATTTCCACATGCTAGCTTCAGAGCCTAGGGGAGCTGGTATTGGCATTTTCAGGCTTTTTCACGGGAAGCCAGCTCAGCTAGAAGGGAGAAAGTCATTAGGCTTTTCCCTTCTGCTCTGTGACTGAGAGCTGATCCCACTGCTTCATAACAAATGAATGATTTGATTATTTTCCTCTTCCACAATTTGAATGAAAGCTCTGTGGCTGTCATGAAGACATGTATCCATCCTGTTACGCATCTGCAGGATTGCCTTTCCAGTATCATTACATATTTGATATCTCTGTGTGTGCTTTTAGATATGTACCTACCACCTTAGAGGAGCAAGAAAATTCTGTAGACATTATGAGCCATGTTTGTTTTACAGTCTGGGGGCTCAGAAAAGTCCCTGACGTTTAGTCTGAGTTGAACCGGGACAACCAATTCTAGCTCCCCTGGGTAGCGGAGGCAGGCTGAGCTGAGCAGACCCTGTGACACAAGTAAAGCTAAGAAAGGAAGAAACTGTCTTGGCTCAGAAGGGGCTGAGCTTGGGCAACTGGGATTGCAGGGTAATACGTATACACACACTTGTACATTATATCCAGAATATCTGCAATGATTGACTATCTAAGCTGGGTAAAGCTGGAATCCTTTATTCTGTGGATCCTTTATTCTGTAATTGTAATTGTCTCATCTGTAATTGCACAAATGTGATTTTTCACCCCATAAAAATCACATGTCATAAATTTAAGCTGAGGTGTCCCTGTGGGTACCTTTGTGAATGAAAAGGAGGGGAGGGGTAGGGAGACATGAAGACGGAAGCTCTAAATCTCATCTTCTGTCTATAGCAGTTCATTTAGTCCTCTGACATTGGTTGAAAGCCTACCGCGCCCTCATTGCTGGGGATGGAAGAACAGATAAAGGTACTCACAGTGCTGAGAGCGAGGGGGAGAGAGAGAGAGAGAGACACTACATCCCTGCCCTGCCCCCCCAGCACAGTAGAAAAGCAGATATGGGAGATCAGCACAATCCACCAGGCAAGCTAGTTGGGCTGGTTTTCCTTACAATTTTAAAGTGTCTCGTTTCCAAGTTTGAGTTGGTATAATAAAAATTACATTATGTTACAGTAATTGTGTTTGAACTACATTACAGTGAGTGCCAGGAGAAGGCCTTACCTACCTGCCTGTATGATATTTCAGAAATAGGTTTCAAAGCCACTCGTTACCTTGGGGAAATTTGTGTTTCCAAAATACCTGCAATGATTGACTCAAGTCAGTAAATCTGTAATTTACTAGAAGCTGAATTTCCAAAAGTCCTATTTTAAATGTTAGAAGTGTTGTTGAAAAAACTGGTACCTCTAACCAGAGAAGAGTGTAATGATGCCTTAGATACTTGCCAGAAAGAAAGCAAAAACAGACTTCAAGCTTAAACTCTCTTCTGATTCCCCCGCCCCCGCCACTGACCAAATTTGGCCCCACTCTTGGCTTTAATATGAACACAAGATCATGCGAGCCCAATTTGTGTCATCAAGGGCTGTCTGCATCTCTCCATTTGTTTCTGAGGATGCCACCGATGGCCTCAGGGGGGCTGGTTTGGACTGCCACCTTTTGCTCCAAATCCCAGTCCTGGCTTAATTCCCAGTCTTCTGAGGGCCAGCTCCCCACCATGCTTCTCCTCCCCGTGGGTGCAGCCTGACATGCCGCCAGCTCTCAGGACCCTGTCCTGGCAGGCCCATTCTCCTGGCTTGGCCCTAACAGAGGGAAATCACTACGAGAACTAGAAGCAATGGAGAGGTTGCTGTCACTCCAATTCTGAAGTTCCATGGCCATCCCTCCCACAGGGGAGTGTACTGAGTGTATTACCTGTTGGTTCAGAGCCATTCAGTTTCTCCGTGCAGAATCTCTTTTCCCACTTCTCCATCTTCCCTACATCCAGAAGCTTCTGGAACATGGCCTGCCCGTGGTACTTTCTTAATCAAAAAGTCTCAGAAAAAGCATTTCCCTAACCCAAAAGTGCTCACCTTTCCTAACCCTGGTCATTCACACTGAGCCGCATCTGCCTGCGTAAAAAGCGGGCAGAAGTTTGAAGTTGTAAGTTTTAAGGGGGCTCACCATTCAAGGTGTCCTGGATCAGGCATACAAGGCTTCCGAGTCCCTGTGCTTTCTCCCCTGTTGGGGGTGGCCAGGCAGGGGTCAGCCTAGGTTTTGTGCTCCCCTGTACCGTGAGCAGTCCCTGGGTATGGCTTCTCTATCAGTAGCCTCTTTCATGTGCTGTGGGGGCTTCTATTAACCTGAGCCACAAGAATAGTTTGAGTAAAACATGTCAGAAGAATTGGGTGAACCAACGACGTAGGGCCTGTAAAATGGCTATTTCTGGTGTTTCCTGGAGGGGTGCAGAAGTGTCTGTGGGGTCGCATGCCCAGGACTGTGCCAGGTAATGGGGTGAGTACAGCGAGATCTCCCGGGGCATTAGTTTCCCAGCAAGTTTGGAAATGTTTAGATGTTAAAACCAGTCAGCATAGGAGGAGAATAAAAAATGACAATAATTTTCAGGTAAAACGTTATAATAGGAGAAACTTCACTGCAGGGTGCTCTCCCACACGTCTCCCAAGGTTCAGGTGACTTTCTTCCAGTTAAAGCAACTGTTCGAGAAACACTGTACTTAAGAAGGTACAATCATACAAAAATGTATGACATTTTAAAAGGGAGTTCTGTTATGACACTTGTGAACTCCTGATTTTGCGGATATTTCTTATTTTATGTAATATATGTGTCATGAAACTTGTGTTTCAAGTTGAGATATTTGTAAATTGGATACTTTTAAGTGCAATAGATACTTTTTAAGGAAACCAAAATTAGTTTATAAATAATCACCCCGATTGTTAGTTTTATAAGTTTCAGTTTAATAAAATTATTTTTCCTAAAGTGGGTGTTTTCACTTAACTATAATATAAACATCCATTTATCTTGAAAATAGCTATTAGTTAGGCTTTCAAAAAATGTCACTTATGTCAATACCATTAAATTTATCTAACTCAGACCAATGAAAATTTAAGACTATTTTTGTTAGTGACGTTTTTTGTTAGTCTAAGAAGTCTTTTGTAGATATCTGGCCATATTAAATATTTAAATTATTTCTAATACTTGTATTGTCTTAATGAAGCACGTAGAACAAAACAGTTCAGTCACAAAGTTCCTCAGGGCAGATGATTAAATAACCATGAGAGTAGCCAAGCTAACTTCAAAGTTGATTTGGAATGTTGTACTACTTTTTGCTCTAAGCAATTATATTAGTCAAATATAAATGTTCAGAGTACATTTTCATTAACATGCTTTATATGTCCAGCTACTTCCAAATGCTCTCTTGGTCCTCATACAGTGTCATTATTCAATAAATGTTTAATAGAAAGGCTCATTAAAATTTTATTTATTATACTTACTGTAAAAGAGTAGAAGTGAAGATAAATTAGGTTGAAGTGGAACGGATAAAATGTAATTGAAATAATTTGGAGTACAATTTAAATAAACTTTGTTAATTTGGAAGTCTTAAAAGTGTGTGACCACAGCTTAAGATGCATTCAAATATATCATTATGAAGAAAATAAGAATATTGTATTACTGGTTTGTAGGTTCTTTAAGAAAGGCTATTAGCTTTAGTCTAAAAATAGAAAAGATAAAATTAACTTAGCTTTCTTTTTTATTAACTCAGTAAATGTCTGGGTTAAGCAACTACTTATACTCTGTTATACATCTTATGTAAATGTATGATCACTGGCTAGAATAATGTATAGATATCTTTATAGAACACTTACATTTTTTTCACTGACTTTTTTTAGCTAGATTATAATCTCTATTGCATGGGGAAAATATAACAAAATGTCATTGACTGAACTGCTGTAGTGTTGAAATAAACTTTAAATTTTTAAATAAACCCTATTAATCTAAAAACTCAATCACTGAGTTAAGGTAATATGGAGAAAGTATATGTTTTTTCAGAAATATGATTAAATTAAATCTTGCAAACTAGTAAATTAACTTTGATTTGGCTTAAATATTGTTCATACAAAGATAGAGGGTTGGGTAAAGCCAGAGTTGTGACTGTTAACTTCTCTGTAATTCAGGGCACAGCAGGGATTGGTTCTGACTTTCTTTTTTTTAAGATTTTACTTATTTAGAGAAAGAGAGAGTGAGCAGGGGAGGGGCGGAAGGAGAGGAAGAGAGAGAATCCTCAAGCAGACTCCCGGCTGACCGCGGAGCCGGAGATGTGGGGCTCGATCTCACGACCCTGAGATCATGACCTGAGCTGCAATCAAGAGTCGGCCACTTAACCAACCTGAGCCACCCAGGTGCCCCAGGGGCAGGCTCTGACTTTTTTAAAAAAAAGAAAAACTGTTGGCTTGTATTGGTTTTGCTGGTAGAGTGATATTTGTTAACTATAAGAATTGTGATTAAGTTGTTGAAATGAGATTTTACTGAATTTTTATATGTGTTTATTTCATTATTAGGCTATCAGCTGCAAAGGTCAACACAGTATATCGTACACTCTGTCAAGGAATCAGACTGTGGTGGTGGAGTACACACATGATAAAGATATGGACATGTTTCAGGTAACATCTTGATTTTTCTTTTGGATGCAGTGTCATTAACATGACATCAGTTTCAGGTGTCCAATGTAATGATTCCATACTTGCGCATATTACAAAGTAATCACCACAAAAGGCCTATTAACAGTTGCTACCACGCGGAGTTACAAAGCTTTTTCCTTGGGATGAGAACTTTTAAGATCCACACTCCTAGCTACTTTCATGGACACAGTGCAATAGTATTTACTATAGGCACCATGCTCTATGTGACATCCCCAGGACACACCTTTCTTTTCTTCATGGAAATTTTAGCACGCTCTCCTTCAGTTCTGCATTTCGATATGTAATCAGAATTAGCCCAGTAGTGTTTGGTGATGTACTCAGAGAAAGAGGTGAGGATAATATGAAAATGAATTCCTGTTTGGGTACTGAAAGACTAAGGGGGAAACCTTCATTCTAAACTGCAGACAGAAATTATAAAAGCTACATTCTTAGGTCTCAGTGCAATAAAAATACACGTTAATAATGATAAAAATTTTAAAAACCAACCACTTTGAAAAGCCATGTTTGAACACTTGAATCAGAAAGGACATCGATACTGCAGTTATTAGGCCTTTTAAAAAATTACTATGGGAACATTATGTAGCGAAACTCATGAGTTGTGACTGACCTCATACTCAGAAGAAAATGTAAAAAAAAAAAAAATCTGAAGTGCTTTCATTATACAAGGAAGGAGGGAACAGGGAACTAAACATTGGTCTCCAAGAGTTCTCTTTAAAAAATGACAGTAAGAAAATACAGAACAGGTTCGTGACTAGCTTTAGCGGTATATAATAGAAAGTCCAGAAATACATCAAAAGAAAGCAGAAGGAAGGAAATAATAATGGTGAAAAAATTCATGAATTTAAGAAGAAGAGAATTAATAATATATCTAAGATTTGGTACTTTAAAACAATAGAAAGTTAAAATTAAGGCTAATGAGGAAAAAAGCAAACTCAAATTGGGAACCATGAGACTTTGCATTTCTATATGGAACATTAAATTATTAAATAAATGATACTGAAACAGGTGTCAAACAGTATCCTAGATATTATCAGAAAGGGGAAATAAGGAGCTCTGAAAAATAAGAAAATATGCTCAACCTGACTTAAAAAAAAGAGAAATGTGAATTCAAATCACACAGAGATCTTATTTTTCACTTACTAGATTGACAAAAATCCGAACAGTTTTGTCAGAGATGTGGGGAAACCTTCTCCTAGTCCTATAAATTGGTATGACCTCTGTGGGGTGGTGATTTGGAAGTGCTTGTGAAAAATGAAAAATGCTTACACTTTGACTCAGCTCTTCTCTTTCTAAAGCTCTTCTGTTTCTAGAGATTTACCCCAGAGATACCCCTACATTCATGCAGAATGACATTTTTACAAAGTCATTGCTCAAAGCATGGTTTAATAGCAAAAGATTGCTAAGTGAATTTAAATTAAAAAAAATAATAATAATAGCAAAAGATTGCGAACAATGTAAATGTCATTCAGTAGGGGACCCTTTCAGTAAATTCAGGTACAGCCATATAGTTGAGGGAGGCCTCTAAGGCTATGAAACAGAACAAGAAAAAGCTCTATGTATGGACATGGGAAGAGCTCCAAACATATTTAATGAATTAAATATTAATATTATTATATTGAGCCATTGATAATATATTCAATTAAGATTACTTAATCTTCAATGTTAATAAATTTAGGTTATTATATATATTAAATATTAAGTAGTATATTAATTATTAAATATTAGCATAGTTAAATGATTTAAATAATGCTTACATGCACTAAAAAGTTCCAAGAGGATAAATAAGACATTATTATTAAAGCAGTTGCCTTTGTGGGGAAGAGGATTGGGCAGGTGGTACACAGAGAGGTATTGTACACTATGATTTTTTTCTTAAGATTTTATTTATTTGCGAGAGGAAGAGAGCACAGAGGGAGAGTGAGAGGGAGAAACAGACTCTCTGGACTCTCTGCTCAACAGGGGACCCCATCCCAGGACCCCAATATCAGGACCTGAGCCGAAGGCAGACAGTTAACCAACTGAGCCACCCAGGCGCCCCTCACACTATGATTTTTGAAACATGTGAATGTGTTAGCTATTTTTTAAAAAAACTAAACAGGGGCTGAGCAGGGAGCCCGCTTCTCCCTCTCCCTCTGTTCCTCTCCTGTGTGTGCACTGTCTCTCAAATAAATAAATAAAATCTTTTTAAAAAATTAAAAAAAATAAACTTAAACAGTCCTAGAGTCATAGTCATAGATGTAGACACAATTATTAAAGTGCCTCAAAAGTAAGATTTATCATATTTAGACAAAATATTAACAATGGTTTTACTCCTCATACAATTCCATTTTATAATATTCTAAATATTTTTTCTTCTCATTCTACCAGAGAAAATCCTTTCCTAAATACGTATTGCATACACTTCCCTGCTAATTTTATGGGACTTCATAATAATTTTTTAATAACTTTCCAAAATTATAAATCTTCTACTGACAAGATTTTTTTTTTTACATAGGAAGTTTTTTTACACACGTTTTACCCTAGAGAATAGCAGATTCTCAACACCAAAAAAAGCACATCAAGAAAATTTTTACAGTTGTGGTGGTACATTTTTTACCACTTTAAAATTAACCCGACACTGCAGAGGCACCTGTAATTTCATCACTGTTCTGTAGGGACATGTTGTGACAGATCGCGTACTCTTCACTGTCGTGCACATTCCACTCCCATGGCTCACTTTCTTGCTTCTCATCTCTGCAAGTGCAGAGTGAGTGAAAGATTCATGAGACTCTTAACATGAGATCCATCCTCTCGACAAACGCACAATGCAGTATTTTTACCATAGGCACAGCATTAGACAGCATATCTCTGGAACTTCTTCATCTTGTGGCACTGAAACTTTGGAGCTGTTGAACAATGATTCCCACTTCCCTCCACCACCAGCCTCTGGCAACCACCATGCTACAGTCCCTATTTGACTGTTTTAGGTACCTCACGTAATTGGAATCCTGCAGTGTTTGTAACGTCCCCTAGATTCATCCATGTTGTTGCATGTGGCAGGATTTCCTTGTTTTATTAGCACCGCGCTCTAACCAACTGAGCTAACCGGCCACTTGGTGAGGATTTCCTTGTTTTAAAGGCTGAATAATATCCTACTAGATGTTTTTACCACTTTTTTTTTTTAATCCATTCACCCACTGGTGGACGTTCAGGTTGTTTCTATATCTTGGCTATTGTAAATAATGCTACCGTGAACGTGGGGAGCAGATCTCTCTTTGAGATCCTGATTTCGGGGTTTTTTGGGGTTGTTTTTTTTTTTGGATAAATATCCAGAAACGGGATTGCTGAATCACATGGTAGTTTGATTTTTAATATTTTAGGGAACCTCCATACTGTTATAAACTTCTAAATGCTTTTTTTCATACTTCCCATTTCATCATATAGAATATTTGAAAGCCTCAATATTTAATAAAAGTAATTTTTTGCTGCTTCATCAAAAGCATACTTAAGTGAAACTGGCATTATTTTTAGCTGCAAGTGCATGGCCACGAAGAATACAGTGGCCATTAATACAGTTCGGTGCCACTGGTTTAATTTCCACAAAAGCACATGATTGCCTTAGCACCGTTAGAATAAACATTAGCACAGTGGAAAAGGCAAATGGCGTGTTTGTATTATTATGAAGGCAATTTTGGCTTCATGGACCTGGTCCTTAGAAAAGGTCTCGGGGACCCTCAGAGGTTCATAGACCACACTAAGAAATACCGAATTATGCTATACTAACCTCTTGCATTTCATAGCTGAGAAATCTGGGTCTTCGAAAGGAACAGTGACTAGCTACTAAGGGCAGAGAAAGCATTAGTGGTAGAAGTCAGTTTTATGTCTCCTGAGTTCTACACTCCTACGTAGTACCACCTCGACCTCTTTATATGAAGCATGGTATTTCCACAAGCATTTATAGATTTACTAAGAAAACAGAACACATTTGTCATTTTTACTAAAATAATCTGATTCCACTTGCAAAATAACTAGACATATTGGAGGATTAATATCAGATCACTCTAAGCAGAGTAGAATTAAGCAAGCTCTTAGAAGGCCCTGAAAAATCAAGCTTGTTTTAATTTTTTTTTCTTCCTCTTACACATTTTTATGTCCCCAGACCACCACTGATTGATAAAGGTTACCGAGCAAAAAGCACTATACCATTCCTATTTCTCAAGCATGGACCTTGGTGTTGAGGGCTATTCATTGTAGCCATTATTCTTTAAAATGATTTCTAGGTTAATTGAGCATTTAAAAGCAGAACATCAAACCAAGCCAAAGAAGGGCCTTGTGCTGCCTTTCCCTGGGAAACAGGTAGTAGCTCAGAATTCAGAAATATTGCCTAGGGAAAAAAGTATCAATTTGATCTGAATTTAAGAGATGGGTTAAGAGTGAGAAAGTCTGAGTTAGTATAGCAACAATTTCATAGTAGTTATTTTCTAGAATAGGTGTAAATAAAGGACAGAAAAAAAGAGTGTAGCTTTTGAGAAAGTAAAATATAAAGAATCGTTTGTCACAGGAAGTGACAAAATGTTTTACAAGACCCCTAAAGGGACGTGTGATGCCAAATGCATCCTGATCCTTGGGGTAAGGAAACCAGAGGCCTCAAACATTGCTCGGTTTCATGGTCTTCGATCCTGGGTGCTGCTGGACCTTACGGTTTGGGTTTTTGTTTGGTTGGTTTTTAATTTAGTTGGTTTATACCACTTTTAGATGGTAACATTTTATTAGCACCCACCTAGGTGAGAAAAAATGTTAAAGAATATCTGCTTTTTAAACAGTTATTTCTTAAAACATGATGCCTGTCTCTCTCCCAGGGTTCAAGGTCACTGTCCTAATCCTCCATTCATCAATTTCATTTCTTGAGCACCTGCTATGTATCAGATACTCACCTAGTTACTGGAGGTAGGCAGCCCCTCTCCTGAAGCCTGCATTCTGGAGGAGGGAAACAGACCACAAATAAGGCAGAAGTAACAGCAAGTGCCAAGGCCCCCAGGCAGGAGCAGGGTGAGGGAGGAGGTCAGTGAAATGAGATGAGCTTGGAGAGGTGGGGCCCATAGGCCAAGTAAAAAAATCGGGGTGTTAAGCAAGGGAGAGATACAATCTGATTTACATTCCTTACAGATATCTTCGGAGGGAGTGTTGACAGGCAGGGTTAAACGTGGGTGTGGAGGAAATAAAGGATCAAGGATAATTCTTTGGTATTGATTTCTAGCTTGAGCAAATTGGATGTCAGTCATTGACCTGGGGAATCCAGGGGTTGAAGAGGAGTCCAGGTTCTGTTTAGAACATCTTACATTTTGAGATGCTTATTAGACAACCAAGTGGAGATTGGGCATGCGAGTCTGAAGCTCTAGGTAGAGATCAGGGCTTTTTGGCTAATAATGGAATTTGACGAGACTACCTAGGGAGGGAACAGAAAGCGCAGGGAAGGGGGCTATTTGCCAACTAGCCTGTAAGAGTTTCGTTATTCCAATACCAGGTACAGATATGCCAGGATATGGATTATAAGCCCTGGAAAGCTCTGCAAGAGTGGTGTCAGTGCAGCTCTGGGGTAGAAACTCCCGCTGGGTGGGCTGAGGAGGGAAGTTAAGGGGATGAGTAAGGAAATGGGAGGGTAACAACTAGTGACAGGTTTTACGGGATGTATGTCCACTAAGTGAATCAGAGAAATGGGGCTATAGCTTGAGGGCTGCTTACAAGTGAAGGAATATGTTTTTAAAGGTGAGAGACTAGTCTAGAAAAATGCTACTCAAAGTGTGCTCAACTGAGCAGCCAAGTCTCTGTTAACAGGGCAGAATGAGCTGAGTAGGAAATCCCCAGGAGGAGTTTGGAAACCTACGGCACTTTTTAGAGTACCCGAAACCTTAAAGCAGATGATCGTTTTTCTAATACTCATTCTGATTGTACTTTTAAAAAGTATCAGTGACAAGTTGAAGTTTAAAAAACAAATTGGTCCTTTTATCCCCACAGAGTCACAGAGTTTGAGGAGCTCCAGAATGTGTTTGATAGCTGATGATAAGATCTAGTAGTCTAGAGAGAGAAATGAATGATTCTGGAGAGAGAGGGGACAGCGTCAGGAACAAAATTCTTGGGAAGGGAAGAATAGTGAGACCCCAGGCATCAAGAGAGAATTTGGTCTTGGGTAGGAGCCGCGATATTCCATCCTTGTCATTAGAAGGAAGTCAGAAAATAAGGTTACAGATGCAGGGGTAGGAGTACCAGTGGTCCAGGAAAGATGACGGAGGCCCTTCCAGCCACTTTGTGCCATATTACCTGTACTGAATTGGACTGACAACCAGACAAACCCAGACTTTTCTCATATATGAAAAATTTCACATGCTGAGTGATGCTGTGTGTGTGGTGTCAGTAAAATCCTTCCTCTGGCTACTATAAGAATATCAGCGATGGAATTCAGAACCATCTTGGTTGTCTACATGACTGCCCTTAAGATAATGTAGAGTTGAGCAACCCTCAGTTTGTTTCCTGAGATTAAGAATTCCTCATGGTGAGCGCTGTGAATTGTGTAAGACTGTTGAATCACAGACCTGTATCTCTGAAACAAATAATACATTATATGTTAAAAAAAAAAAAAAGAAGAAGAAGATAGCAGGAGGGTAAGAATGAAGGGGGGGAAATCAGAGGGGGAGACGAACCATGAGAGACTATGGACTCTGAGAAACAAACTGCGGGTTCTAGAGGGGAGGTGGGTGGGGGGACGGGTTAGCCTGGTGATAGGTATTAAAGAGGGCACGTATTGAATGGAGCACTGGGTGTTAATATGCAAGCAATGAATCATGGAACACTACATCAAAAACTAGTGATGTAATGTATGGTGATTAACATAATAATAATTTTAAAAAGGAAAATGATTTAAAAACACAATTTTATTCTATGTACGTACCTACAATAAAAATAATAATGCTTTAAAGCCAAAAAAAAAAAAAAAAAGATAACGTAGAGTTGATCCAATACCCAAAAGGGATGGGTTCCAAGTTGCACATCGGGTGAGTTTTCAGTAGAAAAGTGGCTTAGTTTTTTTGTTTTTTTGTTTTTCTGGCAAAAGCACCATGAGGTTTGTATCTGAAAGTATAAAATTATACTGGCACACCACAGGTTAGATTTAAGTGGAAGTGAATTGAAAAACAACTCAAACATGACCAGTCAGATAGGTATCATGACTTGCAATAATCGATCCTAGCAGTATGTTCCAGTTGGAATAAAATGTCATGTGTTATAGTCCATTTCCATTAACTCATCAAAACATTAATTTAATACATGGCCTTTCCCGAAGAGAGTAATCTTTGTAGACAGTAACAGTTGTATGACATTCTACTTGAGCATGGTTTTAGCTTTGCGCTTACAACAGAGCTTGAAGAGTCTTTGCCCTCTTCCATGGAGGTGACGAAATTATGTCAGAGACTGTGTCTTTGTGAGAGCTCTAGGCAATTTTAGAACTTTCCACATTTCGCTCCTAAGCTTTGTTGAAACAGAGGTTCAGGACAAGTTGATTCCTGAGTTTAGAGTAGCCTTTATGTTATTTTTTATTCTTTTCTGTATTTGTGAAATATTTTACAATAAATATTTGTTACTTTTCTAGTTTAAAAAAAATTTTAAAGTGACATAAGTCAAAGTCATATACTGTATTTCACTTACATGTGGAATCTATTAAAAAAAAATCAAAACCATAGAAGCAGAGACTAGAATGGTAGTTACCAGGGGCTGAGGGGGCGGGGGGATAGAGAGGTGTTGGTCACAGGGTACAAACTTCCAGCTGTAAGATGAATAGGTTCTGGCGATCTAATGTACAGCATGGTGATTATAGTTAATAATACTGTATTGTATACCTCAAAGTAGCTAAGAGAATAGCTTTCAAAAAAAAAAAAAAAAAGCAGTCTGAATCAGAGCTTCTGAGTCACATACCCAGCTTTTAAATGAATCTAGCCGAGGGAAGACTCTCAACTTTAGAAAGATGAATTATATAAGATTTATAATATCTCTTAATTTAGATTTTATGTTGCCTTTTTTTAGCAAGTTTTATGTTTTCTAAACCTGAAATGCATACATTCAGGCAATGTGCATCTATTCACATTGATGAATTTCAGTGAATCCAGAGGTTTATTTTATTCCAGGCACATTTCATTAGGACAAGAAATCAAGGGTTGTAAAAAAAAAGAAAAAGAAAGAAAGAGAGAAAATAGATGTCTATTGTCTATTGGTTTAATAGAGATAGTCTATGCATGAAAATGTGTGAGATTTATAAAAGAAACTTAATAATAATTTTCCAGGAAGCAAACAGAGCTAAATAATGCAAGATAATATGTATTTTTTCACTTTTATTTCTTTGGATGAAAAATATATTACATCTTATGTTTTAGATAGAATTTTGAGATCAGGTGAAAGATACCTGAGAAATTGACTTTTGGGGGTCTTCTGCATACATGTCTGGGAGCTCCCTGTGTCCCTCCCCTCATCAGCTTCCTAATCAAAGTCACTAGCGTTAGGAAAGAACATTAACATCATACTTAGTGAGAAATGATTTGTTTACATATAAATGATTTTAATTTAAAAAGTCTCTATGGTGTATAAATAACATGTATCACTGTTTTCTGGTCAGAGATTCATAGAACAGCATTACAAAAATGTTTTGATATTTTGTCTTGAGGAGTTTTTTATTTGTAAACAAATACTTAACTCTTCCCAGTTTACAGGACAGAGCAGTTACCTATCTTATTGGTATTTTTTAATATGAAAACCTTTTTTTAGAACTGTAAGATCTTCCAAATGAAATATATTCTTTCTGGAAGCATTTAATCTTACCAAAGAAAGTTAGTCAACATAATTTATTGGCAGCTTTTTAGACTTTCCCAAGAGAGATTTTTTTTTTTAATACAAACTTGAAATGTTAAGACCACCTTTTTGAACCTTTCATCAGACTGCATCTCAAACTTTGGGCCGACTTGTATTGCCCTTTACATCATTCTCGTTTACACTGAATAATGGCAACAGGCATTTGATCTATGTCGGGGTTAGGGCTATTCTTGCTCTATGCCATGAGTCACTGGTGGATTCACTTAGTGGGGAAAACCAATCCTTGCTGCCGGGCAAGAGTTCCTTTGTTTGTTGGCGTTCTTTAAAATCTTGGTTTTTTCCAGCTGGAAATAGGGGGGCAGGTGGGTGGGGTAGAGGATAATTTGCTGTTAATGTTTTCACCTGATCCAAGAGATACAATCTCGGGGTGGGGGGGTGCTATCTAATGTTTTTCTCCAGAATAAAAAATTTAGCTTTTCTCTTAATATTTAAAATCTCATGATTGGTTACTCTAATATCTCCCTTAGTTAAACAAGAAAAGTAAAAGAACTAAATTTTTTTCATGAAATTCTTAAGCAGAGATAATAAATGTTAATGTTAAAGGGATCCTGAACACTCATTCCATGTGAACAAAATATGGTGACATATTTTTCAAACGAATCATGAGTACATTTGATTTATTTAGGTGGGCAGATCAACAGAAAGCCCTATCGACTTCGTTGTTACAGACACAATTTCTGGCAGTCAGAACAATGATGAGGCCCAGATTACACAGAGCACCATATCCAGGTTTGCCTGCAGGATTGTCTGCGACAGGAACGAACCTTACACCGCACGGATATTCGCAGCCGGATTTGACTCTTCCAAAAACATATTTCTTGGAGTAAGTACTATTACTAAGTACATTGTTTCAAGGAAAACACCCATTATCATCAGATATAACATTTAATTGTGGCCAAAAATCTGCCTTCCACGGTGCCTCCAGTTAGATTTGGAGATTTTAATTTTCAGATGTGGAGTCTGAAAGGCTGTTATTAACAATCTAAAAATAATTAAGTCATTACTTGATACTTGTTACATTTGCTGTATTATGTATATGTACAGTAATTACTTTTTTAAAAATGTATATTAACATTGTACTTAATGTATTTATAGTAGATTTAAGGGGGTTTATTTCAGTGGGAAAAATAAATGGTCAAATCTACATAGAGTTCAAAGGAAAAAGTGACATTCATTTATTCATTAAAAAAATTTTCATTGAGTGTTTGCTGGGTTCTATGTCAGGTGTTATATAGGTGTGATATCACAGAACAAAACAGATTAAAAATTTCTGGCTTCATAAGGCTTCCATGTAAATGAAACCCAGAAGTTTTAGTGAACATCCAATTTTAATATAGTTTTGTTTTTTTTTTAAATCAGGATGTTTTTGCAGGGGGAAAAAAAAAAAACATTCAAAATGGCCTTTAAAAATGGCCTAAACAAGGGCGCCTGGGTGGCTCAGTCAGTTAAGCGTCTGCCTTCAGCTCAGGTCATGATCTCAGGTTCCTGGATGACACCCCCCAGCCCCCGCCGCCCCCGCCTTGGGCTCCCTGCTCAGTGGGGAGTCTGCTTCTCCCTCTGCCCTCCCACCCCCCGCTCCTGGGCACACATGCTCTTTCTCTCTCTCTCAAATAAATAAATAAAATATTTTTTTTAATGGCCTGAACAATAATAAAAATGTATTATTTCATGTAACAAGGAGCGCCAAGGAAGACAGCTCCAGGGTTGGGTAATTCAGTGATTCCGTGTCATCCAGGGAAGCAGGTTCGTTCTGTCTTGCCCCTACCTCCCCAGGCAAATCCACTTCCTCAGGCTGCCTTAGGGATGAGAGACGGCTCCTGCATTTCATTCATCCCCGGCCACATGACCCCTTCCGGCCGAAGAAGAGTCGGCAGAGACACTCTTTCTTCCTTATCTCTTTTTATTGTTTTTTTATTTACTTTTTGCAAATGAATAAATTTGACATGTAACATTGTGTAAGTGTAAGGTGTACAGCCATGTTACCATGATGTACTTACATGTTGTAAAATGATGGCCAATATAGGATTATTTACCACATTGCGCAACTATAGTACAATAATATGGTCTATGTTCATAACACGGTGCATTAGATCTCTGTGGCTGATTACAAGCTTGTACCTTTAAACACCATCAGTCTTACCACTCTCCCTGTGTTTCCCCCACCCACACCCATCCCATCCCCAGTAACTGTCATTTTACTCTGTTTTTGTAGGCTTAACTTTTTAAGATTCCACATATAAGTGATATCATACAGTACGTATTTTCTCTGACTTGCTTAGCATAATGTGCTCAAGGTCCATCTATGTTGTTGCAAATGGAAGGCTACCCTCCTTTCTCGTGGGTAAATAATATGTACAGTGTCTTTTTTTATCCATTCATTCATTGATGGGCATTGGATGGCTTCCATATCTTGGCTGTTGGAAATAATGCAATAAACATGGGAGTGCATATATCTCCTTGAAATCCTGTTTTCATTTCCTTTGAGTATGTGCCCTAAAGTGGAAGTGCTGGGTCATATGGTAGTTGTTTTTAAATTTTGGACTATTTAGGGTCTTTTGTGGTTGCACATAAAGCTTAGAATTATTTCTTCTATTTCTGTGAAGAATTCTTTTAATATTTTGATGGGGATTGTGTTGAATCTATAGATGGATTTGGGTAGTATGGCCATTTTAACAATAATCTTCGGATTCATAAACATGGGGTGTCTTTCCATTTGTGTCTTCAATTTCAGCAAAGTGTGTAATTTTCATTGTATAGATCTTTCACTTCCTTGGTGAAATTTATTCCCAAGTACTTTACTGTTTTTGATGCTGTTGTAAATGGGTAGTTTTCTTTAGGCCTTTTTCAAATGCTTCATCTTCATCATTAGTGTGAAGGAATGCAACTTTCTTCTCTATGTTGGTTTTGTGTCCTGCCACCTTATTGAAATCGTTAATTCCAACAGCTTTTTGACTGCTTCTTTGGGATTCTCAATATACAAGATTGTATCATTAGCAAATAGGGCTAAGCAATAGTTTTACTTCTTTCTTTCCAATTTATATGCCATTTATTTCTTTATCTTGCCTAATTGCTCTAGCTAGGACATGTAGCACTATATTGAATAGGAATGGTGAGAGTGGGCATCCTTGTCTTGTTTCTGATCTTAGAGGAAACACTTGCAGTCTTTCTTCATTGAGTATGATGTTAGCTGTAGGTTTGGCATATATGCCCTTTATTATGTTGAGATATATTCCTTCTGTAGCCAATCTGGTAAGGGTTTTTATTCTGAAAGGATGTTGTGTTTTGTCAAATGCTTTTTCTGTGGCTATTGAGATGATCACGTGATTATCCTTCATTTTATTGATAGGATGTATTACATTTATTGATTTGCATACGTTGAACCATACTTGCATCCCCGGGGAAGTCCCACTTGTTCATGGTGTATAATCCTTTTAATGTGTTCTTTTTTTTTTTTTTTTAAGATTTTATTTATTTGCAAGAGAGAGAATGAGAGACAGAGAGCATGAGAGGGAGGAGGGTCAGAGGGAGAAGCAGACTCCCTGCTGAGCAGGGAGCCTGATGCGGGACTCGATCCCAGGACTCCGGGATCATGACCTGAGCCGAAGGCAGTTGCTTAACCAACTGAGCCACCCAGGCGCCCCTCCTTTTAGTGTGTTCTTGAATTTGATTTGCTCATATTTTGTTGAGAACTTTCACACCTACATTTATCAGGGATATTGGTCTATAATTTTCTTATCTGGTTTTGGTATCAAGGGAATGAGTTTGGAAATGTCCCTTCCTCCTCAATATTTTGGAAGAGTTTGAGGAGGATTGGTGTTATTAATTCTTTTTTTTCTTTTTTCTTTTTTTTAATTTTATTATGTTATGTTAGTCACCATACAATACATCATTGGTTTTTGATGTGGTGATCCACGATCCATTGTTTTCGTATAACACCCAGTGCTCCATGCAGTACGTGCCCTCCTTAATACCCATCACCAGGCTAACCAATCCCCCCTCCCCCCTCCCCTCTAAAACCCTGTTTGTTTCTCAGAGTCTGTAGTCTCTCATGGTTCATCTCTCCCTCCAATTCCCCCCGCCCATTTTTCCCTTCCTTCTCCTAATGTCCTCCATGCTATTCCTTATGTTCCACAAATAAGTGAAACCATATGATAATTGACTTTCTCTGCTTGACTTATTTCACTTAGCATAATCTCCTCTAGTCCCATCCATGTTGATGTAAAAGTTGGGTATTCATCCTTTCTGATGGCTGAGTAATATTCCATTGTATATATGGACCATATCTTCTTTATCCATTCATCCGTTGAAGGGCATCTCGGTTCTTTCCACAGTTTGACTATTGTAGACATTGCTGTTATGAGTATTGGGGTGCATATGGCCCTTCTTTTCACTACATCTGTGTCTTTGGGGTAAATACCCAGTAGTGCAATTGCTGGGTCATAGTGTAACTCTATTTTTAAGTTTTTGAGGAACCTCCACACTGTTTTCCAAAGTGGCTGTACCAACTTGCATTCCCACCAACAGTGTAAGAGGGTTCCCCTTTCTCCACAACCTCTCCAACATTTGTGGTTTCTTTCCCTGTCCTTTTTGCCATTCTAACTGGTGTAAGGTGGTATCTCAATGTGGTTTTGATTTGGATTTCCCTGATGGCTAATGATGATGAACATTTTTTTCATGTGCCTGTTAGCCTTTTGTATGTCTTCTTCAGAGAAGTGTCTGTTCATATCCTCTGCCCACTTTTTGACTTACTTGTTTTTTGGGTGTTGAGTTTGAGAAGTTCTTTATAGATCTTGGATACCAGCCCTTTTTCTGTAGTGTCATTTGCAAATATCTTCACCCATTCTCTGGGTTGCCTCTTTGTTTTGTTGACTGTTGCCTTTGCTGTGCAGAAGCTTTTTATCTTGATGAAGTCCCAAAAGTTCATTTTTGCTTTTGTTTCACTAGCTTTTGGAGATGTATCTTGAAAGAAGTTGCTGTGGCCGATGTCAAAGAGGTTACTGCCTATGTTCTCCTCTAGGATTTTGATGGATTCCTGTCTCACATTGAGGTCTTTCATCCACTTTGAGTTTATCTTTGCTGCCAAGACTGAAACAGGAAGAAATTGACAACCTGAATAGGCCAATAGCCAGTAACGAGATTGAAGCAGTGATCAAAAACCTCCCAAAAAACAAGAGTCAAGCAGAGAAAGTCAATTATCATATGGTTTCACTTATTTGTGGAACATAAGGAATAGCATGGAGGACATTAGGAGAAGGAAGGGGAAAATGGGGGGGGGGAATTGGAGGGAGAGATGAACCATGAGAGACTACGGACTCTGAGAAACAAACAGGGTTTTAGAGGGGAGGGGGGAGGGGGGATTGGTTAGCCCGGTGATGGGTATTAAGGAGGGCACATACTGCATGGAGCACTGGGTGTTATACGAAAACAATCTTGATGGATTCCCTGGGGAATTCTACCAAACATTCAAAGAAGAAATAACACCTATTCTACTGAAGCTGTTTCAAAAAACAGAAACAGAAGGAAAACTTCCAAACTCATTCTATGTGGCCAGCATTACCTTAATCCCCAAACCAGGCAAAGACCCCATCAAAAAGGAGAATTTCAGACCAATATCCCTGATGAATATGGATTCCAAAATCCTCAACAAAATCCTAGCTAATAGGATCCAACAATACATTAAAAGGATCATCCACCACGACCAAGTGGGATTTATCCCCGGGATGCAAGAGTGGTTCAACATTCGCAAATCAATCAATGTGATAGAACACATTAATAAGAGGAGGGAGAAGAACCATATGGTCCTCTCAATTGATGCAGAAAAAA